GTTAGAGACGTGTTTCTGCCTGCGTGTCATGGAATACCACTACTTACTTTTTACTGTGTGCGGTTTGTGTCATTGTGTTAATGAGACGCTTCTGAAGGAGCGAATACGAGTGGGAAGTATTAGATTACCTTTACTTATGTACAAGTTTTAACTGAAGTACCACCACAGATAACAATTTGTCTTAGCATGTCGTAAAGGGCCCTCATTACACTATTTTATGATCCATGTTGTAAAGTTGTTTCCTCTTCAAAAACATACCTGGAGTTATGTTTTGTTTCATTTATACTTTTTTTTTAAAAACACGAAAACTGCATATTTTTTTTGTTTTTCTCTCATTCTCTTTCTCTTCCAATTTTTGATGTTATGTGGTAATACAGGAAGTGCTCCACTGTGTTTTTAAACTCCATGCACCTTCACTAGAATCATTTTGGTTAATTTCAACTCTGGAATTGCCGATCTCTACTGAACTAAAGGTAAAACGTAGCTGTTAACTTGAAACAAGGTTCCCACGGTCATGGAAATCCTGAAAAAGTCATGATAATTGTAGATGTCATTTTCCAGGCCTTTTTGTAAATTCAATGAAAGTTTTGGAAAAGTCATGCAATTTTAGTTTCTCTTTCATGCAACTCCAGCATTCTGTTAAGTTATCATGAGACTATTATGATTATTTCCGAACTTATGCGCCTTTTGTTTAAAAGAGACGACAATAAATGCACTGACAGTATTTTGAAAGTTAAAAACTATAATACCAAACCATAAGGTGAGTGGAAAGGGTTAACATTTCATATTTAGCTCTCAAAGTATGATTAATTCTACACATGTAGGTGCCATAAAATCATGAAAAATTTACTTTAGGTCATGTAAAAGTCTTGAAATGTTGTCAGTGAAAAAGAGTAGGAACCCTGTTGAAAACTACTGCTTCATTTACATCACAAGGTGGAACAGAACATTTTGAGCTTTGGAGATGTAGACAAACTGATAATAAAGGTTTACTCAAATGTGTGAATGAAACAAAACACAAGTCTAGGTTTGTTTTTGAGGAGGCAATAACTTTCTAACATGTCTAAAAGCTCAAAAGAGTCAGTTTTGCTAGAGAATTAACTTAATTATAGTTCATGATCTTACACAAGCGCTAACCTGAGATTCCCTGATGATAGGTGTCCTCATCAGGTCTGCAGTTTTATGATGTTTAGACTTAAAGGGGCTGTCATTTTAAGGTGTGTAATAAAGTACCATTTGTTTTGCCCCAGTACAGATGTATATTGTAAAAGCAGGGTCAAATGAGACTGCTGTGCGCTGTCTGAGTTTAATCACAAAGCAGTTTTATCATCCGCCAACGAGGAAGTTATGGTAGTGGCTGGCCTGTTAGGCAAGACAAGGCACGTTTATTTGTATAACACAGAAGTAATTGAAAGTGCTTTACAGAATAAGAAATAAATTAAAATCACAATACAAACAAATAAAAAAACATAAAATTAAAGAGAGAGAGAGACATTAAATGAGAGAGAAGAAGAGCGCGGAATGAAAAATGAAAACATGTTCTTGTTTTACTGCATTGCTTTGGAGGTAGAACGTGAGAAACGCTTCTGTTTAAAATGACTACTTGTTTTCACATTTTGTAAGACAGCTCTTGCATTTATTTTTACCATTTATTTATTTTTGTAGAGCATGTGAATAAGTCTGAGGTGTAATATGTTATGGTCTCAATAGGGAAAATTGTCCTCTGCATTTGTCCCAGTCAAACCTTCAAAACTTTTATATTCTATCCATCTGTAACAGGGGTGCCCATACTTTTTCAGCATGCAAGCTACTTATGAAATGAACAAGTCAAAATGATCTACCTACTACAAAGCCAAGCAAACTGTACTACGCTGTACAGTTTGAGAACCCCTTCTTCAAGAGAACTTCCACTGGCACTTTACAAAAATCTGTGAAAAGTGAAGAGTGGGTAGTATTTTTATACCTGTTTTTTCAAGTTTCTCACTGGAGTTACATTTTCTTACTGGTTTTGCTGTGGGATTTATCCTCTGCACATTTACCAAACGCATGTCGTGACAAATACAGATGAATTTGTGCACTTTTATTAAACAAACCTCAACCACACGTTGTGGTAGGTCTGCTCTGTGACGCCCTGCACTCTCCTGCACACCGATACAAGTTTATTGGCAACAACAGCAGCCGTAATGAAATATGATGTTGTGGTCATACTGGCTTGTCAAAGCCTGATCCCGTCAGATCTCAGAAGCTAAGCAAGGCCGGGCCTCGTTAGTACTTGGATGGGAGACCACTGGGAATTCCAGGTGTCACAGTGGGGCACCAGTGGCAAAAACTGTCATTGTGTCCTTAGGCAAGACACTTCACCCACATTGCCTAGTATGAAAGTGGTGTGTGCGTGGGTGTTGGTGGTGATTGGAGGGGCCGATGGCGCAGATTGGCAGCCTTGCTTCCATCAGTCTGCTCCAGGACAGCTGTGGCTACAGTAGTAGTTTACCACCACTGAGTGTTGAGTGAATGAATAATGAACTGTAAAGAGCTTTGGGTATCTTGAAAGGCGCTATATAAATGCAATGATTAATTACTGATTGTACTCATCGAGTCTCAGATCTCGAGTCTGAGACAAGACAGAGTCCAAGCGCCTTCAAGACCTCGACAAGACCAAGTCCAAACATGGTCGAGTCCGGAACGAGAACAAGATTGTAAAGAAACTGCCTCAAGTTTGGTCTCAAATACTACAACACTACGATCTACCCTCACTACTTTGGCGATCAACTGGTAGATCGCGATGGATGTATTGAGCACCCCTGATCTATGAACACGAAGCTGAAACTATTAATTCATTACCTTTCCTGTGTGTGGCGCAATTTTAAATTCTTCATTTCAATAACCGTGGTGCACATGTTTTTTCACTCGTTTTTATTGGGGTTTTTTTAGGTTAAGAAAATGTTGAATATTTCTACAAGTGTTACTTATCATAACATTTGTCTTTTTAAACAGGTGAGTGCGAGCTCTGAAGCGAGGGCCAAACGCAGCCAATTTTTATCACCCTCAGGCTCACTACTGCTGAATTACCTCAACATATCCACAGACACCATTTCTATAAAATCGTATATTCCTGTTACCTCACCGTAACAAATCATCGCGTACGAGACAGAGTCAACATTGGAGTTCCAGATCTGCTTAAACTTTGATAAATGATTATTATTTGACAACTCCATCTGTCAAATTGGACTTTCTGTTATGATGAGTCACTGCCACCACCCCGATACACAATGTTTTTACACTCCCGCTTAAAATATTTTGAAAGAAGCATTTCAACATCGTCAGTCCAGAGTATGTCATTTTGGGGGTGACAATAATGCAGTGAATGCCAGCTAACACATACTGCTGTTGTGCCACTGAGCAAGACACCACAGTTATAGGAAGATCTGACATAAAGCAAGCTGAAAAAGTGCACAATATTGGCTTGATTATAAAAGTAATCTTTGTTAAATATAACTTTTTTTTTAAGGTGCACTATGTAACATTTTGGTTGAAGATTCATCACCTGCTTGTTTCTATGGATATGCCCGGAATGTGCCACAGTATGGCATTAAACAGCTCTACTTTACATTTCCACATTACAGGTGGTTTTATAGCTCAAAAATACCTATAAAAATAGACATTCTGACTCAGCGGGGTTGCCTTTCCACAGATCTGACCTGTAACTTAGTCTGGTTGGAAGAAGGAAAGGTTTATTTATGTATGTGTTTATTTTGGGCAAGTAAGAAATTGACATTCTTTTACAATGGAACGTATAACTTTAGTGAACTTATAGCAGAACTAACAACTAAAAATTTGCCCAAAAAAGGAGTGGGAAGTAGAAAACTTACAGTATTTAATCCCACACCCCTCTTCTACTTTAACATAATGAGCTTTCTTTTGCATTTTTCAGACATTTTACATTAAACTATATGAACGATGTACAAATGTGGACAAAGAGTCACTGTTGTAGTTTGGTAACATAACTGTATTTCAATAATACATAAGGATACTAACAATGGTACAGACAGTAGATACAAGTAATGCTAATGGACGGCACATACCAGCAATAGTAAGGAAACACCAAGCATAAACTATTACAACAGAAGGCAGTACTGTTCTAATATTAAGACCCACTCTGTATATACTGTGACCAGACCATAGGTTTATATACAAGGTATATATATGTACAGGGTATATGTATATGTATATGTATGGTAGCCGCAAGGTCTTAAAAGTCTTAAAAAGGTCTTAAATTCATGTTCGTAAATTAAGGCCTTAAAAAATCTTAAATTGTGTTGTCCAAGTCTTATTTTTTCACAAAGGTCTTAAATTTCATTAGCCTATTTTTTTTTTGTATACCCAACCGGTCTGCAGTGCAATGTTAAATGGAGGATGGAAAAAAAACAACAATGTGAAATCACGTAACATGAATGAGTAAACAATTAGTAGAGTGGAGGAAGACGTTGGATGGATCATGGAGAATTGCAGGTTTAATCCACAGTGGATTAGATTCTAGACATAATACCGGTAGTTGGTTGGTCATTAACAGAATTGGATCTGGTGTTTTTCGTCCGCATAATGGGTGCGATGTTGGTCTTAATTTTCCTTTAAGTGGTCTTAAAAAGGTCTTAAATAAGTCTTAAATTTGGGGTAGTCAAATCTGAGGATACCTTGTATATAACAACTTGAATTTATGGATATTTTGGCATTGCTTGAGACGTGTATCAGACTGTTCAAGAGTTTTACACCACATATAGACACAGAAACTTTTACGATAGTTCAAAAACTGAGCAATTTGAAATTTCCATCCCCTCTGAAATTATGACTTCTCTCAATATCAGCTCTATGGAGAAAAGCCTCTGATGGACCCTCCACTGAAAATACATCACTACATCACACAATACATCTATAAATGTAAAAAAAAAAAAAAAAGAAATCCTTTGTTTCTTTAATTGTTGTATTTTTTTGTCTGTGTGCAGAACCTCCGTGTCCGTTACTCAGGTGGATCAGAATTCTACACTCACTCCTGCACAAAGGTCAGAGGTCGCATGGGTCACCGCTTCATGTTCATCGATGGAGACAAGGCCGTGTCAGGCTCGTACAGGTCAGTGACAGGAATGAGAGATTCTAGCTCGTGAGAATGTAATGGTTTTAACGGGTTTAAAAACAAAAACAAAAAAAAACAGATGCTTCTAGATCTAATTTTAAAGCAGTTTTATCATGCTAAAATCAGAAAGTTATGCTGGCACACTCGCCTGTTTGCATATTTCAAACCAAACCTGTGACCATAATGTGGACTGATGAGTGTCTGGAGAGAGTGTGATGTTCTGGAGAGAATGAATTGAATGATGATTTTGATAAGGATGAGGAGAACAGGGTGTGAATGAGGATACAGAATTGTTATGATGCGTCGGTCATTATAAAAACATTCTCTTTGTACGTTTAATTTTATGAACTATAACATCAACCTGCCCAGGGACGACAGGTGGAAATTACCTCTAGTGCTCCAACCTGGTACAAAGCATCTCTCCTGTTAAGGTTAATGTATATTGTGCACTGTCCTGTGTCATTAAATAAACTAAACTAAACTATTCTTGTTAGCACTACCATGATGGCAAAATTTGGCTCTGCACTGAAAGTTTTGAAACTCGTCGTGAATAATTAGGATTCTGTGAATGCGATCAGAAAGTGAGGAATAATTTACGACTGCAGCAAACCATTGAGCAGTGAAAGTAACGCTACACTCACTCCTGCAAAAAGTCAGAGGTCATATAGGTTGCCGTTTCATGTTCACTGATGGAGATAAAGCCGTGTCAGCCTCATGCGGGTCAGTAACAGGAATGAGGTCCAACATGTTATGGGAGATTTTAGCTCATGAGAATAAAGCTGAAGACCGTCTGAATGTCTGAAAGGTGCTGCACCACATTTTTTACGGTCTTAAAACCGCTCCCGGTGCAAAGTGGTTGGCTGTGGCTGCCGGGGTCTGTCCTGCGGGCTTCTGGTGGAGGGTCGGTGCGAGGGCATCATCTCTCCCCTGGGCCCTGTGGTGGTTCCTGGCGGCGGCGAACGGCTCTCTGCTCCTAGTGTTGACAGCTCCTCTGATGGTGCTTTCTCAACTGGTTCACCTGTATTCACCCTCATGTTTTACTATGTGTAGTTTTATGTATTTTACCAAAAAAGTAAAAGTCATGGAAATTTGTAAATTCAATTAAAGTTTTGGACAGCAACTACAGCGTTCTGTTAAGTTATCATTAGGCTATTGTGATTATTTCCAAACGTATGCGCCTTTTGTTTTAAAGAGAAGACAATACTAACAGTATTTTGAATGTTAAAAACTATAACACCAAACCATAAGGTGAGTGGAAAGGGTTAACATTTCATATTTAGCCCTAAAAGTCTGATCAATTCTACACATGTAGGGTGCTGTAAAGTCATGGAAATTTCACTGTAGGTCATGAAAAAGTTATGAAGAAGTTTTGAAATTTTGTCAGTGAAACAGAGTGGGAACCCTGTTATACGTGTGTGACTGTTTGGATTGTTTGGTTGTGTGGGGACAGGCAGCTGTGGGGTTTGGCGGGTGGATGGATGGAAGGAAATGTGGGATTGTTTTTAATCACATAAAGTTTCACTGATTGATTAAAAACGTAAAAACAAACAAACAAAAAAACAGAACTAGTGTTCCAGCTGCAGCAGTCCAAAGTTATTCCTCACTTACCTTAGGCATTCTGAACATCCTAAATAGTCACCATGATGAGTTTACAAGCACTTTTCACAACTCTATGGGAACTTTCGCCGAGATGGTAAAGCTAACAATCACTAGCATGCTAACACAGACCTGCTGAGGGTGACCAGACATCCCTATTTACCCAGGACAGTCCCAGTTTTGACCCTGTGTCCCCTGTCCCTTATCCAAAACCATTGAATATTGTCCTATTTTTTAAAAGAAGTGTCCCAGGTGTACCTATTTTTTTAATATTTATTTTTAATATACAGTAAACAGGGGACTATATTGTCATTTGTTTAGCTAAAATACAGAAAAAATGTGCTTGAAAATGACCATAAGCAAAAAATACATATACAGAACTATCAGCAGAAGTCCTTTAGGTTATGACTGCCCCACACGTGAGTAGAGAATGGACAATGTTACACCCTTTTCTCACAGTTTTATTTAGACCAACCATCCCAACCTGGGTGTGTCGCAGTTTAGAATTTTGAAAATGTGGTCACCCTGTGATTATCGGACAATAAAATGCTTTCTAATTAAATACAGACAACATGCAACAGACTTATTTTCATCACAAGATTTATTACACTTACACTTATACAAAATATCAAGACAAAATTTGCTTTAAAAATGGTACTTGGCCTTTAAGAAGTATTATTTCCAATCAAACAGGTCCAGGCATTTGAACAGTCACCACAGGGTATGGGCATTGGTCCTTCAAGTCCGGTGACTCAGCCACATAAAGTCACAGGGCAGTTTGACCTGAGTGAATCATCTCCGACACACGCTGATATCCATGTTAGTCCAGGGTTAGTGCGTCTTTAGATGTGGTTTTGACCTGGTTTAGTGCTGGATCAGACACCATGATGACATAATTTAGTTTCAATCTAACGGACATTTTCGGTTTTCTATGTTGCTTCCTCGTCACAAACAAACCCGGAGTTGTGTTTTGTTTTATTCAAATGTTTAACACACAAGCTCTGCATATTTACACTGTATTCATCTCTAAAACTGAAAACTCTTTGTACTTGTGATGTTATGTGGCAGTACAATGTGTTTTTAAACTGCATACACCTCCACAAAAATCATTTGGCAATTCCAGGGCTGAAATTATCTGATCTCTACTCAACAAAAGGTAAAAGTAAGATATTAAATTGGAAACTACAGCTACATGACATCTCAAGGTGGAGCAGAACATTTTGAGCTTGGGGAGATGTAAACAAACTAATAATACAGGATTACTCAATGTGTGAATGAAACAAAACACAACTCCAGGTACATTTTTGATGAGGTAACAACATTATTACATGCCTGTTGGAACAAAACAGTCTATTTTGTTTAACATTTGGCCTATAATCTTCTTGACTCATATTCATATTTATACGTTTTTAGTTTACATTTAGATTAAACAGCAGACGTTGAGGCTTTCACATCTCTGAAAATGAAAATATTTTACTACATTTGAGTTTTGTGCATTAGTAATGTGTTTTTCAACATTTTGAGTCACTGGACAGGTTACGGTTAAAAATTTTCCTTCACACCACCCACTCAAATATTACCAAATCACATCGTATGGAAAAAGAAAGTGGTAGACCTATATAATGTAGAAAATACAGTCCTTTCCAGTGTGATTGTTTGTTTTTTGTTTTGTTTGTCTTGTTTTAAATTTATAAAATGTGTATAGGACATTTGAAAGGGGTAAATCATGAAAATCCATGTGTGATTTTTTTTTTTTTTTTCTAAATCAAAGCATTAGTTGCGAATAGTGTGCTGAGATGTGTGCATTATAGTTGCTGCAGTTTGTGACTATATTTTAAATAGCTCACACATTCATTTAGTTAAAATGGGTATAACAAATTGTTATGATTCTCTATGATGACTATTGAAAAAATAAATGAGTTCTGATGATATAACACTAGAGAGAACCCAAAAGTTTTTCCACATTTTACACTAAATAAACTTTTCCCCTGATACCTTATAAAAGAAAGGTGTTTTCTGACATTTTATTTGTCAGAGAATCATTTCTGTGTACATGAGAGGAATTTTGCTCTCGTGTTAAGTAAATTTTTAAACCTAAAAAAATTGCTAAAATGGGAAAACGAATGTGATTTTTTCTCCAAAAAAATCTTAAATATAATTATTTTACCTGTGATTTGGTAAAATGAGTAGTCTGACCTGTCATAAGCACTTTAATGTTATTCTTGCACGACGTCTATGTGTAATCAAATGCCAATTAACTCAGCAATATGGTTTATTTATTTATTTTCTGACAGTAGTAACAGTCCTAGTAGTGATTATGTTTTACAAGAGACCAAATCTACGTGCCCCACCTGGCTTTGTGATTCTCAACGGCATAAACAAACATCCATCAACGGAATGCACGCTGTCTATAAAACATATCTTGTCTCCATTCTAGACTGACAAGTTGTAAGCGGCTCTTTTGTACACGAAAAAGTGAAAACAAGTAGTCTGGTAAAAGCCATGTTTGTATTGGAGATTACACTGTCAATTCTTGTCAATATTAGAGATTTAGATGAGGAGGCTGGCTTCTTTTCAACTTATTCCAAGTGAGCTTCCAGGGGTTTAAGGTGTGTCAATGTTCGTTTTGTCATTTGTATACATTTGGCTGAAAGATCCCCCAGTCAATGATTTTTTTGTTCTGGGTGGGGAAGGTCATGATGGTTTTAATGTGTTCAGGTGTAGTGTGTAAATATCGGAATTTTGTATGATGAACTAAATAAATCTAGTAAAAAAAAAGTGTGACCAAAAAAAAAAAAAAAAGAAGCAACTTGTACAACTGCAAATCAAACACATCTTGATCAAAAATTACTGGATCAAAATGTCAAGTTTTCAAGTCCGTTTTTCATGTTTTAAAACCTTATTTACACTACTAGTCAAAATTTCCATGACTATTTACATTGTACATTCTCACTGAAGGCCACAAAACTATAGACATACGTATACGGAAAAAATGAACACTAAATAATTTGTTTTAGATTTTTAAAAGTACCCACCCTTTGCTTTGAGCACTCGGCTTAGCTTTGAAGTGAAAACAGTTTTAAGGGACTTCATCATGATCTTCACTGAGAGAAGGTCAGGGGTTTGTAGTCCTGTCAACAAAGTAAAGGGTGGCTACTTTGAGCAATTGAAAAGATAATAATAGTTTCTTTGGCCCATGTGTAGGGCAGGGTATCATTAAGAAATTGCCGATACCATACATACCTCGATACACAGGCCATGATACGATACATAACTTGATACACAGGTGACGATACGATAAATATCTCTATACATAAGCGACGATACGATATCTGCCTCGATACATAGGCCACAATACGATACATACTTCAGTACATAGGCCATGATACAATACATACCTCGATACAGAGGCGACGAGACAATATATGTCTCCTTACCAGGGCCACGATACCATATATACCTCAATACATAGGCCATGATACGACACATATCTCGATACAGTGCACTTTCGGTTCAATACGATGTATTTCAAATTGATTTTATAAGGTTCAATAAAAAATAAAGGCTAAATCTGTGATGCTAAAAGTCTTTGTTAAACCACTTCTTGTGCAAAGTTCATCTAACTGATTCATCTAATCATCTAACGAGCAACAAAACTGTAGCACTGTAACTAAAATATACCAAAAAATACTCTTGGAGATATATTGCTACAGCAGCCCCCATTATTGATACTGTATCATCATATTAAATGATACTTCGAAATTTTGAGATTTTTACACACCCCTGTCCATGTGTATATAAAATGTAGAAAGTAGTAAACATAAAAAAAAAAAAACATAGAATGAAATGGTGTGTCCAAACTTTTCACTGATAGCGTGTATTTAGGTAACAATAATAACAGTGTGTCATGATGTCTGTTCTATTCTGTTGTAGTTTTACATGGATGTCCACCCGGCTGGACCGAAACCTCATCACCGTGGTGACCGGACAAGCTGTGGAAGCCTTCGACCGTCTGTTCCGCTTCCTCTACACCTCGTCCTCCAGGCTGGTCAACCTGCGGCGATTGGTGACCGAGCCAGAGCCGGAGCCCGACCCTGTACCGCAGCCTGCCTCTGTGCCAACACCATCTGCTGAAGTTGCTAGGAAACTGTACAACCCCAAATACGCTCTTGTTGCTGCTGGCAATGCCAGCGTTAGTCCGGCTTCCACACCTGGCAACAACAGCCCTAAAGAGTCCCAGAAAGATGCCAAAAACGAGGAGGCGACCAAAAAAAGGTGTAAGAGGAAGAGTAAGGATACTTTACATGAAGGTCCGCCCCTTCACCCTGGACTTGTGGATTTAGAAAAAGTGTATTTATTCGACTACCTGCCTACATGGCCTGAGCCCGACCCTCCTTCTGATGTTATTGGCTTTATCAATATCCGCGACACGAGCAAACCTACCCAAGTTCACCTACAGCGTTCTGAGATGTTTGAAGTAAGCCAGGCCATCCGGTTTAGCAGTCCCTTTAACAAGCCGAAGGAAGCCCTACCAGAGGTTGCCAAGCCTAGAAACCTAAGTGCTTCTAAACATGACGAGAATTCAGCACAACCACAACAGAAAACACATTTAGATGCAATTACTCCAAAGACTAAAAATCTTACACAGTCGGTATTTGAAAAAGAAAATGCAAAAGCTCCAGGCAGAAAAACATCTCCTCAGTCACCCGTGAACAAGATTCACAGCGCCACGCCAAACTTACACACACCTCCATCACCTGTTAAAACGGTGACAACTCCAGCTGCTAATGCCGGCAGCCCCAAGACTGCGGCAAAAACGAACACACAGACAACAACTTTAAACAGCAAAAGCGCACTTCAAAACATGAATGCAATGGAAACGAACCATGCCCCTAAAGTATTGGCCCAGAGTGACTCCAACTTGCAGATAAAAACACAGAAGCATAACTCTAATGAAAATACTTCTCCAGCTGGATATATTCCTGTCACTTCTACCTCAGCTTCTGCCAATTACCAAGTTTCCCAAGCTACCACGGTGCATTCAACCTTGACGAGCACTGGCCCAGCATTGACCACTATTAGCACTTCCGCTTCAAAGCTTAACACAAATTCCCCTATAGCGCCTTCCCCTCCTATTCCGAAGCCGCGCACAGTCCAACTGGTCATTAAAGACAGCCCGAGCGATGGTCAGAAAATACCAGAGGTCAGCCTTGTAAAGAAAGCGGATATAGGGGAAAAGGTAAGCACAGTGGACAATGAGACTCCTGTTGCAGTTGCGCTCACACCAAAAGAAACTGAGAAGGTTCCTGAGCTAGTCAACAAAAGCGGTAGCAAATCGATCCCGCCAAAAAGCACAGAGGACACTGCTGTAAAGAATCATTCCCAGGAACAAGAAAGCAAGACGTCCCTAGAGGTGCGGCGTAAAGATGCAGGAGCCAAAGCAGAGTTGCAACTGTTAGGTAGCAGCAAAGAAATGGAAAAGACAAACACTGAAGTTAGCAAGGATCTAATAAAAGCTCATGTGAATAATGATAAGGATGCGCCAAAAAAGAATGAGGTCATTATTAACTTACCGAAAGGTAGCAGTGACTTCCTGGAAAACAAGCCAGAAGGAATTCTCATAACTCGTAACAGCGACGTAGCTAAAGTGCAAAATCAAGCTGCTAACAAAGTAGGTCAAAGTAGCCATGATAAGGTTAGTATACCTCAGAAAATAACATATTCTAGTTTGGAAGAAAATAGAGACATATTAAATTCCCCAACTAACAAATCTCCAGTTTTAAAAATGAAATCAGAAAGCATACCCACAGTCAAGGTAGAAGCTCAAGGTGACATTTTGAAAGTTGATGAAAGTGCGACGAGAACTGTGAAATCTAACAGTCGCTCCCCTTCACCCTCACCTAAAGTCCCTAAAAAACCCTCACATCTGCAACTGAATATCGCGCAAACAACAGATTTATTAACATCTGACAAAGAATCTAGAACTCGGACATATTCAGGTTCAGAAGAAAATAAAGATTTATTAAAATCTCCAACTAACAGGTCTCCGATTTTAAAAACAAAATCAGAAAGCATACCCACAATCAAGGTAGAAGCTCCAGGTGACATTTTGAAATTTAACGAAAATGTAACAAGACCTGAAAAACCTAACAGTCGCTCCCGTTCACCATCGCCCCAAGTACCTAAAAAACCAGCACATTTGCAACTGGCAAGTTCAACAACATCCGACCAACAATCTCTACCTCGAATATCATATTCAAGTTCAGAAGAAAATATAAACGTATTACATTCCCCAACTAACAGGTCTCCAATTTTGATAAAGAAATCAGAAAACACTCCCACAATCGCTGCAGAAACGCAAAGTGCGAGATCTAACAGTGGCTCCCCTTCATCATCGCCCAAAGTACCTAAAAAACCAGCACATTTGCTCCTTAACATCTCTCAAAGTTCAGAAGAAAATATAAACTTTTTTAATTTCCCAAATAACAAGTCTCCAGTTTTAAAAAAGAAATCAGAAAACACTCCCATAATTGCTGCAGAAACGCAAGGTGACATTTTAAAAGTTGACGAAAGTGTAGTTAGGTTTGCGAGATCTAACAGTCGCTCCCGTTCACCATCGCCCAAAGTACCTAAAAAACCAGCACATTTGCAAATGAATATTTCACAAACAAAAGATTTAATGGTATTCGACGATGAACCTCAAACTCGAACAACGCATTCAGGTTCAGAAAAAAATACAAACTTATTACATTCCCCAACTAACAGGTCTCCAGTTTTAAAAATGAAATCAGAAAGCATACCCACAATTGCTTCAGAAACGCAGGGTGACATTTCGAAAGTTGACGAAAGTGCAGCAAGAACTGCGAAATCTAACAATCGTTCTCCTTTAGTATCGCCCAAAGTACCTAAAAAACCAACATATTTGCCACCGAACATCTCACAAACAAAAGATTTAATATTGAACAATGAATCCCAAACTCGAACAACGTATTCAAGTTCAGAAGAAAACATATTACATTCCCCAACTAAGAGGTCTCCAGTTGTAAAAACAAAACCAGAAAACATACCCACAATCACTGCAGTCACTCAAGGTGACACGTTGAAAGCTGACGAAAGTTTGGCGAAAACTGCGAAATCTAACAATCGCTCACCTTTACAATCGCCCAAATTACCTAAAAAACCAGCACATTTGCTGCTTAGCGTCTCTCAGAGTTCTGAAGAAAATATAAACTTATTTAATTCCCCAAATAACAAGTCTCCAGTTTTAAAAAAGAAATCAGAAAACACTCCCACAATTGCCGCAGAAACGCAAGCTGACATTTCGAAAGTTGACGAAACTCTGACGAGAACTGCGCAATTTAACAATCGCTCCCCTGTTCTATCGCCCAGAGTACCTAAAAAACCAGCGCAATCAAACTTGAACTCCTCTCAAACGACAACAGATTCAACAACATCTGAAAAAGAGTCTCGAAGTCTGTTAACTCAAAGAAATAGCCCTCTTCTGGATGGATTTCCACTTCGCATTCCAACCCCCGATTCTCGACGATCCCGCACTCCAGAATTCCGAACCCCAACTTCGGATATAAGCGACGGGTGTGGCTCCACGACGTCCGATGAGTTTTACGAATGTAGCGACTCTCCTTTTCGTGAGACTATTGATCAGGTGCCATTTTATAGTCTCGATCCTTTGGAAGATAAAGATAACGTCGTCAATAGTCGCGGAAGTTACAAGGAGCAAGCTGCTATGTTGAGCAACGACCGGACGATGTCAAGTAGTGAGACGCTGAACTTGTCCAACAAAGGATCGCAATCTTCTATTCTTGAAAAGATGGATGACGAGGAAAAGTTGACAAAGAAAAATATACAAGAAAGAGAAGCTATAAGAAAACTAGACGACTTGTTAGACTTGCAAGAACTTGTTAACCAAGCTAAAAGTAATGTAGCACCGAATCAGTCAGTCGTGGTGGAGCAAAGTTTAACTCCAAAGCTAAATAATGAGGCGGCAGAGGCTAAGCGGACATCGGCGCGTGAGCTGAAACCCAAAAAGGTGTATTCCAGAGCAGAGAAACCAGATAAAATGCCCATGGGTGGAGAGAAGACGGGACTTGGCACCAGTGGAGTAGAGAGAAGAGAAGCAGCACCTACGGCTAACAAGGAGCCCGAGGGACACAAGGTACAAAAACACAAGAGTTAAACCACAACCACTCCAATTCACAATCTTGTTTTTAGTAGTTTTCTTTAATTTTGATGACATAATGTTAGTGGTTTTGCCCCACAACAGAAAAGTTTTAGTTTTCTGAACTTTTGGGGTATTTTTAGGTCTTTGTATCATGGTTATTTTCCTTCAGGAGCTAGTAGATGTAAATAAGAGTCCCTGGGTGCTGCTGGTTATTGTCCAGCTCTAACAACTGAAGAAATGGGGACAAAACATAGTGTTAACAACCTTAACCATAACTTAATCAGTCTTATCTGCTAGTAGAGCAATAAAATCTAAAATTAACTACACATCGAAGACATCAAAATATATGAAGCAGGATTTATGGAATTGTGTAGCATGGGTGAAATCCGCAAAGTTGTAAGCTTTATTATTATATCTGTTTTAAGGCTGTAAAACCCCTCACCACACACTTTATACACTTTTTTAGACATGACAGGTACAACTCTTTTTGCATACTTCTTAAAACTTAATGCTGCCATCGTAATCAAAGTTATTTTCCTCCTTCTTTATGTAACAAACCGAAGATTAATTTATTCTGTAATGGAGCCCCTACAGCCGCGTAACTTCTACCTTCCTTCAGCATGTCCAGAAGTCCAACTTTTTGTGCGATGGTTTGCATCTTCCTCTGCCTTTTGGGTGCAACCGCAGGTGTCTTTGTCAGTGCAGAACGTTTCATCGACATTGTGGGTTTTGTCAGGGAGAAAACTTGCAAACATACAGCACTTCAGAATCACACTGCTAGAGATCGAACATTTATGTGAATTTGGCTTGAACACATTCTGTACTGTACAGGAGACACGGCACAAAGGAGATTGATTGACAACGGTCTACAGTCCCTTAGCCAATCAGGATGCAGGAGAAAGTAACACAATGCACGTTCATACGCTGTAAAAAAAAAAAAAAAAAAAAAAGCATGCAAAATCACACAAAAAATCCACAAGACCGCGAAAGGTGAACCGCGTTATAGTGACGGACAGCAGTATAATATATAAATATACACACATACACACACTCCAACCAGTTGCTTGAGAATTCCATATATCTTACTTAATATATTTGATGTCTTCTGCATTTATATATAACATTGAACGAGAGGATGTGTCCAAACTTTGGACTGGTATATACACAATATAAAATGTATTTATTTATTTAATAGTGGTCAGAACTACTCAAGTCAAAATGCATAGTCATCATTCACAGTTTGAGTTTCAGTTGTCAATGTAGGCAAATCTAATGACAAAACATGTTTTCCACTTGTGTGAATGTTTGAACTACCTTACAGTTTTCTGTTCCGCCCACCCCAGTGAATTGAATGGTAAGAACCAAAATGCTCTTTTAATCCCTTTATAATCCTGATTTTAACCCCACACCCCTTACTAAAACTCACTCCTCACGGAAATCACCTCGCTTTGCTTTCACCCACTAAAACCTCACAAAAAAACTCACCAAAATAAACAATAATAACATTGTTTATAAGGTAAGTATTATTTAATGCATTATGCTGATGCGCTATTCAATTACAAAAATATTATCTAAAAGTTACAGAATCTTTTGCCAAAGTTGGGACAATGTAAAAATAAATAAAATGCAAATAAAGTACAATCCATTGATTCACCAAACTAATGAATTCATACAGAAATATATCAGGTGTTTTACCTTAGGGTGTTAGTTGCAACATTCTGTAGGCTTCTAATTAACTGCGCCTTGTAATCAAACTGAGACGATAAAAGCTCCTGAAGCTATTGCATTGGGCATGATTTATTTGTATATAATTGTTTTTAGGTGTGTCATTCGCGTCAATGTAAAACAACTTGTATGTTAGTTATTCTCTATATAGTTAACAATGACGTTTGTAAGAGAATTACTCTTAAAGGGCCCACATCACGCTCTTTTCTAGTCTATGTTATGATGCTGTTTCTTCATCACAAACTTACCTGGAGTTGTGTTTTGTTTCATTCACACATGTTTAACACACAAACCTGCATATTTCAGCTTTAAGTTCTTCCCTCAAATAGAAAACACACTGTTCCACCTTGTGATGTTGAATAATTTAGATAATTTCAGCTCTGAAATTTCCCACTGAACTAAAGGTAAAAGGCAGTGTTAACTTAAAAACGCTTCATGACATCACAAGGTGGAACCGAGCTTTTTGAGCTTTGGAGATGTAGACAGACTAATAATAATAATACTCAAACATGTGTGAATGAAAGAAAAACATCTCAGATATGCTTTTTGAGGAGGTAACAACATTATAACACGGCGTAAAGCTCACAAGAGTCAATTTCAGACAATATAGGTGAAAAAAAATCAGCTTTTATTTGCATTTATTTAATTTTATTTGACACTGTCCTAACTTTCTAGAAACTGAAACATCTACACAGTTATTAAAGGCTCTATTATCATGATCAATATTTTTATTTAATTCCTCAATTGTACTCGACAGCAGCTTATAAAATGAGAAAGAAGCTGCCATCGCTGGAGAGTGATTCATCCTGTAGTACGTGTGCCAGTGTATTCTAATCAGGGAAAAGTGCTGTTAATGAAGCCGAGACGTTCTCACTGATCCCGTTTTAAATCTATATTAAAAGATAGATGGTTGCACTTTTTATAGACCGTTAAACTCATTGGCCTTGTAACAACTTTCGCTTCATGCCGGAGAGGTGTCGTTGGCATGTTCATATGATTCATGCAATATTAACTTAAAATAAAAAAAGGGAACTGCATTTTCACGCGAACTTATGTTGTACGCGTCTTATGTCCATTTGCAACACGATTTCACAGCACTTTACAAGCGCAAGATGTACTTTGTATGTCGGCATCTTGGGAATTATAGGCGCTGTACTTTTTTCTCTCTCTAAGTATACATTTAGTTTTTCCCTTATATAGCATATTGTAAAAGCAGGTTTTGGTAGAATTTTTTATTTTATTTATTTTTTTAGAAAATCAGACATTATGCCCGGGGGAGCGTGCCTATGTTCTCTCATTTGCATTTTTTTTTTCTTTCCAAAATTAGGCCCTATGTTCCCACATTTCATCATCAGTTTGCATCAGAATTTATCCTCATTTCCCCCAGTTTGGTCATCAGTTACACCTGACCTATTATCCAGCAGCAAGGTCATGATGTAAAAGGATCCTAGGTTGAAATGACTCTGAATCATTCCTTTAAATTAGGTATAAAAATAAAAATAACTTGACTTTTTTTTGAGAAAAATCTTAGCAATAAGAAAAATCTTAGAAATAAGGGAACATAGAGCTGACCCCATGCCACGCCCATCTAAGGCTACATTCAGACTGCAGGGCTTAATGTTCAATTCAGATTTTTTTTACGAGGTTGTTCACATTTCCAATTAAATGCAACTTGTATGTGATCTCAAGTGTGAACTTTAAACGCCCAAAAAATGTCCCGCATGTGCATTGGAGCACACAACGACGTCACACGCAGCGAGCATGCTCAGTGTTTATGGAAGTCACTTGAATGCTGGGCTTGTCTCCCAAAATACGGTCCAGTTCTTCGTAAAATGGACAGGTTACCGTGGTACGTTGCATTTGGCTTGCAGGCGCTTTATTTTTTGTTGACATTGGAGCCAGGACCGCCCATTTCTTCGGCAATCATTTCAAAAACCGCCCGTTTCTGATAAGACCCCTCCAATTTGGCCTGAATACAGCGATTCCCCCAAATATTAATAAACTTCGTTGACCTCACTTTCCCTCCATTGACGAGACTCCGAGCCTGACATGTAGGTGGGATGAATGTGACCTGGCCGTTCAGACTGAAGTTGCATGTCAAAAGATCGAATATGTATCAGTTTTAGGAGCACTTATCCAAGTGACCTGGGTCGCATTTGAAAAAAATCGGATTTGTGTCAGACTGTCAATAAATGATTAGATACAGGTCGCAAAGGGGCCAAAAAATGGGATTTGGGTCACTTGAGGCTGCAGTTTGAACGTAGCCTTATTATAAAGCAATTTTTATCAACTCACCGGCTTCGCAAGATATATATATGATTTTTTTTTTTTTTTTTTTTTGCCAAATTGAGCATACTGTCTCTCCAGACTCTGAAACTTTGAAAAATGATTTTGTAATTATGCTTGCAGGCTAACAGATTGTAAATCCAGAAACAAAACTAATGCTAATCTGATGCGCAGGGAGGGAGTAGCTCGTTGAGATTTCTGTGATAGCCACCACCCGCTTCGCTGCCTGACCATTGTGATTCATGCAAGCTATTAATGCATGCAAAAATAAGAGTCTTAGGAATAAGTTTGGCTAAGCTCATTTCTTTCAGGCAGTCGCTACCAGCTTCTCTTGAGCTGGAAAACAGAAGAAATAATGCTATGTTTTTTTCTTTCTTTCTTTCGCAGCAGCAGCAGCAGAGAGACTCCACAGCTCAAGTCCAAACCCGCTTAACCCCGTCAACTAGATCCTCCCGCCCCCTTTCCGCCAACCAGTCCATCCCGGCTCGCACGATGGCTCACCAGAGGAAGATGTCCGATGGCAATGTCCCAGTCCTGGACCTCAGCTCCTCTCCCACTTCTCGCAAGGTGCCACCCAAACCCCCAGCGCCCAAACCCATCCTGAACCAGCACTACCGGCAACCCCCGACCTCACCCGCCAAGCCCAAACTGGCTCAAACTCCGAATTCGTCACCGCTACCTAAACCGCAGTCTTCTTTTCTATACACGCACGCTCAAAATATGCAACAGAGGCACTCGTCCTTGTCACAGCAGAGCCCAGACGGAGCAATACCAGTGGGGCACGACTTGGAGGAAGAGAAAACGGCATTTGGTATTTCGTTCAGCAAGCTTTACACTCTCAAGGGTCTAAAGGACAAGATGAGCAAGCTGCCCACTCAGAGCAGGAGGAGCAGCACCAGTGGTTCAGCGCAGCAAAGGAAAAGCACCGGTTAGGCTTGAGGTGGATTTGGACTTGAACTTTTTTTTCACTGAAGAGAAGCTATTAAATGTTTAAGTATTATGCTGTCATAACAGTTTGAGTTTACTGTAAAAAATGGATATCGACAGAAGTTAAAATGACTTGAATTCAAAATCTTAATTTGAACAGTTTGTATTGGTATGGATTTATGGATTTAGCATTACATGTGGCTCAGACTGCACCTGGTCCAGCTGCAGCTCCATGTGGGACCGGTTTTGTGGTGTGACAGTCACACTAGGACTGGAGCTCTGCTGTTACAGTCTCCCTCTTTGAAGCTGCACACACCAGACGACATGTTCACGCCATAGCTATTCATTATTAAGGAAATAGCTTGTGGTGTTCGGCAAAAATAGGCTCCCAACATAATTCATCTGGAGTGCCACAGCACCTCTGCCGGCGCTGCTAAACAGCCCGGTGTGCGGTCTGAGCTCCTCTGGTTACTTTTACTACACTGAATTCTTGTGGCCTTCAGACCGGAGCTGCTCTGTGTGCAGTCTGAGTGTGAGGTTACTGTGTGACTTGTTTACTAACACATGACTGGTTAAATAATTTAATTTGAAACAACTCAAATTATCTGAAATTTAAATTACAGTATGTTTTGAATATTGTCATTTTATCTAGCTTTTAAGCAGTGCTGATACCTGTTTTACTTATTTAGCATATGGTGCATTTTTGAAAATCAAAAGGTTATTTAATTTATATTTTTGAGCTTGTGATTGTGAATGTGATTCACAAACAGTATAAAGTATACAATCAATCATACTTTTTAAAGCAGGTGGACAGGTTATATTTTGTAAAATATGTACATTTTAAAAAAACAAATGAAAGTGTTTTAAAATGCTGTTAGGTTTTAGCTTTTTCACATTGTTTGTGGTGTCTTTGCCACATAATAAACTTGTACAAATATTATGGCATAATATTATTCCACCATTTTCCCATGTAGACATAGATATGCTTTGGATATGGATGGTTTAAAGCAATCTCCATTAAAATAATCTCTTAATTAGACGTGCTTGACTTCTAATGCATGACACTTATGTTCTTTACACACTGACAGATGCGGATTGTGTTCCATATAAACACCTTTGACACAAGCAGTGACAGGCCACGTCTGACTCACTGGTATTTGCAGGTTTAGGTAACAGTGAGATGGAGGAGATAATTAAAATGCATCTCACCTTTGCATATGGCTGAGCACATAGCGCACATTAACACTTCTGCTATTGTAGATGTTGTGGCTGCGTCTCAGACGTTATTGAGTAAATGTCACTAAGATTTAAAGAGTAATATGTTTAAATGTCTTTGAAGGTTGCCATCTTTGTTTAAAGTTAGTTTAGTAGTTACTTTGATACTCTACTTCTGATTTATTTAAAGTATAATTTTATCAGAATATATTTTTACTCAAGTATCTATCTTGTACCAATACTTTGCATAATACCCAACCTTTAAGTGTTTTAAATTCAACTTTTTGGAGCTTTCTACCATGTTATAACATTATTCCCTCATCAAAAAGATGTCTGAAGAGGTTTTAGATTTCATCCATGCATGTTTCAGTAATCTAGCAATCTCTCCTGGGCCCCATTTATGGTAATCTTCCATAAATATACAAAAGCATCATACAAAACATTACACTACATCATCACAAACCTGATACGGGATGCACACACCAATTGTGATAGCATTCAGAAGGGTGAGAGAAAAGGGATGTTAATATGTTGTTTTTAGTAAATGTAGAATTTCCAAAACAATAAAAGTCAACAATGGTGACCTAAATATGTTCTGTGTTAGCAGTTAATACACCACAGAAAACCCCCTATTTAAAAAGTTATTCTTCCCAAAATGAGTGAGTCTCTATGTAACTAAACTTAAAGAAGAATAAGTTAAGATTTAACATTTGTCAGACATTGCTACTTCTACTATTTGGTAATATTTTACTACAGTTTCTCACTGCACTTCCACCTCTTTAACTTTCTTTAGCAGTTTTGACACATGTTTAACTACAAGGTTAGAAGCTAAATTATAAGTTAACACAATGAAAAATAAAAGGGGTGTGAGTATGGATCCCTGTGGAACACCTAATATATTTTTTATAGGAGTGTATGGCATATTTTGTGACTCAGATTTTTCTAATAATATTCTGTGAAATGAACTGCTTATGGTGCTTTCTACAAAACATCTAGTGCACTAAAACGACCATCAGAACCTCATATTGTCTTATACGCAGATATAGGATCAAATGGTCTTTATAAACGCTTTTCTGGGTCACATATTCCTCGGATTTGGAATGAGTCAGACACTAACCCACGCCTGACACAAGAGGATGAGGAGGATAGCAAAGCGAGAGCACCGCTCGGCAGTGATTTAGATGCAGAAAGCGGTCGGATAAAGAAAAAGAAAATCCATCCCTCTTATCTGAACCGACTCGAGAACGGAAAAGAACAGACAGCCCAGTGCATAAAGCAAGGCAGAAGATACAGAGAATGAGATACAGCGCAAGAGACATGAAATCTGCCAAGTAAACTGTTGACGTCAGCGACCATAGGGGCTTGAATCGCTTTGTAGCTGCACGACTCTGGAACGTCGATGTTTAATGTATCAGATCGGAGGATTCTGCAAAGCAAGCCTGGTGATATAGGAAGTGCAGACGAAAACTTTCTAGACTTATTCCCATCGAAAAAAAAAGATAGTTTTGTTCTGTTAAAGGTTGAATATTACACTATTTTCTGATTATGTTACAATGTTGTTTCCTCATCACAAACAAACCAGGAGTTATGTTTTGTTTCATTCTCACAAATCCTACATATTTAGGCTGAGTTCTTATGTCAAACAGATAACACTGTGTTCCACCTTGTGATGTCATGTGGTAATACAGGAAGTGCTCCATAAGCTTTCACTAGAATCATTATTTCAACCCTGGAATTTAACTACCACTACATGTGAAGCCGGGCTGGCGCCACCTAGTGCCTCCACACAGTTTCATTTCTCTCCAGCGACTAGGTCAGAATACACTAGACGGTTTGCAAAAACCCAGAAGTTGTAGATCGCGCACCGACCAATCAGCGAAGAGCTGTGAAGCCATGATGTCACACTCAAGTGCCTGTCTGAGTTCCTTTTTTGGAACAGCACAACAGTAAACAAAGCGGTCAAGATGGATGTAGACGAAGCCAAACATTCTGTGTTGGCAACGATTCCCGAGATCGAGGATTTAAAGCTGGAACAAAGAGAATGTTTGGTGAATTTTATCAAGAGGAAAGACGTTATTGCCCTTCTTCCTATGGGATTTGGTGCATTACATACGTCACGACCAAATAGAAGCGATTGGTTAAATTAAAAAAGTACCAGCCTAACGTCAAGCGAACAAATCGTAATGCTGCGAGGTCAGACGGTTTCCACAAAATGAAACCGGTTGATGAATCGGGTTATAACATGACATCATAAAGTGGAACAAACGTGTGAATGAAACAAAAAAACCAAAAAAAACACTACTTCTAAGTGTTTTTGAGGAGGTAACAGCATTATAACATGGCTTAAAGATCAAAATTTTGCGTAAAATAGGACGTTTATGTGTTTCAGTTTCTTTTGTCTTAAAAAATTTGTCTTACCCCAGTACAGATATATTCTACAAGCAGCTCTTGAGGTCAGAATAGTTCCACATTTCCACTATGTATGGTCTACATCTAATTATAAAGTGTTTATTGTCCAATAATCAGCTAGTGCATGTTAGCATGCTAGTTGTTGTTGTTGCAAAACTCCACACTGGTCTCTGAAAGTTGTGAAAAGCACTTACAAACTCATCACGGCGAATAATAAGGATGCTCAGAATGCATGAGGTAAGTAAGGAATAACTTTGGACTACAACAAACTATTAAAATCAACTTAAAGTTACATTTTAAATTATGTAGAAATAATGTACAGCGTTAATCTTATTGGAATTGCAAGTGGAGTATTAAGGTGTGACTGCCAACCCAAGTGGAAAATGAGCCATCTGTTGACTTCACGTGAGGCAGATACAGGAGCTGTTCTGTAAATCATGTACAGGTTGAGGCTGTATTTGTTGTGAGGTAGAAATGTGATATAAATGCATTTTTAGTGGGATCAGTATTCATGGTGGTGTGCTGCCGTTGTGAACCAGGATTTTTTTTAGATTGGATGTTCTTGTTAAAGGGACAGTCTGGAATTTTGGACATAGGACCTCATTTTCTAGTGATCCAGAGTGTTGGAGACGTCTGGAGACACTTTTTAAAATATTCCATCCAGTCCTTGTATTTGCAGTAGTTAGTCATAGTTCGCCTGTCAATAAAAACAGTCTTAAACACTCCACAAAGCACCTGAGGTAAACAATTATAACACCAGACTATTGATGTGAATGTCTGTGTCGATAGAGTAATTTCAGAAGTACAATGGTCCCTCGTTTATCATGGGGGTTACGTTCTAAAAATAACCCGCAATAAGTGAAATCTGCAAAGTAGTCAACTTTATTTTTTACAATAATTATACATATTTTAAGGCTGTAAAACCCCTCACCACACACTTTATACACTTTTCTCAGACAGGACAGTTACAACACTTTTAGCATCCTTCTTAAAACTTATAGCTCCTGTCATCCTTTTGTTGTTTTCTTCCTTCTTTGTGCATCGAACCGAAGATTAATTTATTCCATAATGGCGCCCTACAGCCGTGTAACTTCTACCTTTCTTCATTATGTCCAGAAGCCCAACTTTTTGTGCGATGGTTTGCATCTTCCTCCGGCTTTTGGGCGCGACCACAGAAGCCATTGTCAGTGTAGAATGTTTTGTCGGGGAGAAAACTTGCAAACATACAGCACTTCGCAATCACAGGGGAAGTGATTGAACATTTATGTAAATCTGGCAAAATGAACGCATTCTGTACTGTACAGGAGACACGGCACGGGGGAGACGGATTGACAATGATCTACAGTCCTTTAGCTGATCAGGACGCAGGGGGAGGAACACTGCACTGTAAAAAAAAAAAAGCATCACACAAAAAAATCCACGAAACAGCGAGGCCGCGAAAGGTGAACCCTGTTATAGTGAGGGACGACTGTAAAACCAACCTTGCATTTGAAGGATTTATGTCTGAGCAGCTGCAGTGACATAAATCCTGTACTTTATGTCACTGCATCTGTACAGTGTACTTCCTGATAAAAAGTTTGGCAGTGGTGGACTGATATCACCGAGCACCTATCTTACCGGCAAAATAAAAGTCCGCTGCTGCTGAGAAAATAGTCCCTCAACATGCGACGATTCATGCGATACGAGGTTAGTTTTATTTCAAACATTATTCTATCAACACAGAGATTTACATCAACAGTCTGGTGTAATAATAGATTTATTTTGGGTGTTTTGTGGAGTGGGTAAGACTGTTTTCAGTGGCAGGATAACTATGGCCATTGACATGCACTAGCCTAGCACCAGCGACCTCTGCAAATACAAGGACTTAATGGAATATTTTAAAGTGTCTCCACACGTCTCCAACACTCTGGCTCACTAGGAAATGAATTCTGGACTGTTCCTTTAAAAACACACTTTTCTGTAGCTGGAATGAGCAATGCACAATAAGCAGTGGTGGAAGGTTAAACTTAAATACAGTTTTCAGGTATCTGTACTTTACTTATAGATGCCATTTGTAACTTTTCTGGTCTGTCACCTGCTTGTCTCCGTGGGGATGTTATTGCTTTGCCTAAAATGTTGCACAGTATAGCATTAAACATCTATCAAACACTTATTTCACTTATGGTCCTTTTAATTGAAAGCATACCTTGAAAACATGCATTCTTACTGTTACTGGGTTCGCCACTTCACAGATCTGACCTGTAACTTGTATGTATCTCCATGGAGACGTAACCAGGACATTTACTGCCATACTGTAGTAGAACATTCCAGCCCAAAAAAAAAAAAACGTCTCCATAGATACAAACAGGTCATGGACAATCTACCTAAGTTACACAATGCACTTTTGAGTACATTTTACAGTTGATACTTTTTACTTTTACTTCAGTACATTTGAGAGCAGGTATTTGTACTTTATACTCCACTACATTTTTTAAGGCAAGGCAAGGCAAGGCAAGTTTATTTGTATAGCACAATTCGTACACAAAGTAATTCAAAGTGCTTTACAGAATAAGAAATACATTAATAAAAACAAATCAAAACATAAATAATCATGAAGATTAAAATTAAAAAAGAGAGAAGAGTGCGGAATGAAAACCTTTCAGTCATATGCACAGTTAAACAGAAATGTTTTGAGTCTGGATTTAAACAGCGTCACAGAAGAGTCTGTCTCACATGTTCAGACTGTTCCAGGTTTTAGCTGCATGAACCTGAAACGCTGACTCCCCTTGTTTAGTCCTGACTCTGGGCACCAGCAGGAGGCCGGTCCCTGAGGTCCTCAGAGTGCGAGATGGTTCATATGACACTAACATGTCACAGATGTACTTTGGTGCTCGGCCATGGAGAGACTTGTACACAAGCAGAGCTGCTTTAAAGTCTATTCTCTGAGGCACAGGAAGCCAGTGCAGAGACCTGAGCACAGGACTTATGTGCTCGTACTTCCTCGTTCGAGTAAGGACCCGAGCTGCAGCATTCTGGATGTTCTGGATGTTCTGGATGTTCTGCAGCGTCTCACAGCTCGTTTGGAGAGACCAGTGAGCAGAACATTACAGTAGTCTAACCTACTGGAGACAAATGCATGGATAAGTTTCTCCAAGTCTGATTTAGACAGTAAACCTTTGATTTTTGCTATGTTTTTAGATG